GTGTGTGTGTGTGTGTGTGTGTGTGTGTGTGTGTGTCGGCGCGCGCCTGCTCCGGAATGTGCGTAGCCGGCTCCGGGTGTGCTCGCGCCGTCATGAAAATGAGGTCAGGGAAGGTCGTTCCACTCTGCAGCATAAATCAAGGAGGAAAGGAGAATGGATGTGAGAGACAGTCCCTGGAGACCGCCCCGAGAGAGGCTGAGCGAGGGAAGCGGGAGGGGCAAAAGTTCTGCGGAGAATGGGCAAGAAGAGGGCCCAGGCGCTCGCCCTCCCCGCGCTTCCCGCCCGGCGGGTCCCTTCGCCGAGCAGCGGCGCCCCAGACTCAGGCGAGATCGTGCCTTTAACCCCCGCATCCTCCTCCGCAGGCTCCCAACACCTTTCTCTCCTTTCCTCCAACCCCCTAATTTAAATGGTCCTCATCAAAGCGCCCTTTGTGTGGACGGTGAAGCGCCTTACGCCCAGCCTCCTCAGGAGCAGATCAGTGCTCCCGCGCACACGCCAATTGCACTCGCAATCGCACACTTGTTACTCCCGCGCACAACCTCCGGGGCTCCCGGGGACGCCCTGCGGGGATCGGAATCCAACGTCCCGGAGCGGGCTGCTCTCCGCTGTCCTCGTGCCGCGCGACTCCAGCCCCGTGTCCTTTCTCCACGCTGCCCGCCTCCCCGGTCTCCCTGACACTCACTACCACCGTCCTCCAGCCCCTCTGGCTCTCCGCTTTCCACCAGCCCCTGGGGGAGCGCGATGCTCCAGGCCGGTGTTTCCCTGCGCGCTGTCCTGTGACCCCAACCGGGAATCTCCGGAGCCTCGGTCTGTCCTGGGCCGGAACCGAGGCACAAGTCCCGGGCAACCTGGCTCTCAGGGAAAGGGGGACCAGTGTGGGGCAGTTCGGTATGGGGGAGGGGGAGAGGGGGTTAGCTCTCCCTTCTTTCTTCAAGCTCCAGGCCTAGAGGGCTGAAAGTGGGGCAGGGCACAGTGCAGAAGGACCGCAGGCCGAAGCGCCCCTGTGGACCCCGGAGCGCTTTGCTCTCCGCTGGCACAATGGGTACCCGCCGCTCCAAGAACGCGAAGAGAGCAAGAAGGAGGATGGACTGGACGGCACCCACAGTCGGAGCTTTGGGCCTGCATCAGATTTATTTCCCACTGCATTCTTTTTATGAAAATAACAACAATGATGTCTAAAGCCTGTACGGTAGGCACAAAATCGGCACACAATAATATATATTGAATTAAATTTACATAGAGCTGTTAGCCATCATGATTCTTCCTGAGCTTCCACATTTTGTAGATTAATTCATTAAGTCATGCATTCATTCAACAAATATTTAGTGAGCTCCTACTAAGTGACAGAGAAACAGAATGCCAAGAGCCTGGCCCTCCCGGCACTTACATTCTCCTGGGACAGAAAGACAGTAAAAAACTCGGACACATAATACGACTGGGTATTAGGCTGGGTAGCCCTGTGTGCTGTGAAGCAAAGATTAAGGTGGGTTAGAGAGGGCCTCTCTGGGGAGAAGACAGAGACCTGAATGAAGTCAGGAAATGAGCCATGCAAACTTCTGGAGGGAGAGGGTCCAGGCAGAGGTACCTGCCAGTGCCGAGATGGAGAGTTGGAAAGTGCCTGGGGTGTAGCCTGACAAGGAGGGGAGAGGAAGGAAGTGAGATGGAAGGTCAGGCCTGGCTTTGTAGGTCTTGGAGGGGAGTTTGGGATTATATATACTTGGTGTGATTGGGAAGCCACTTGAGAAGTTTTTTAAAAAAGGACTGACACAACTTGTGTTTTATAAAATTATAAACAAAGACAGAATTTAACTACCTTGTCCATGGTTTCCAGGTCTGTGAGTTTCTTAACCCAGACCTCCAGCTTTGTCTCAGTCCAACATGTCAGAGATGCATGCCTAGGCGAGACTGCCCCAGAAGGAGCCCAGGAGACATCTTGAACGGTACTCCGTTCCTCCCACCCATACTTTTAGGAAGGTATCCAGAGTGGGGCAGTGGGTAGGGTCTCTAGATCTGCCAGCCCGGGAATCTGGGCTGTGGGCGAGGACTCCCGGGCCTCCGGCTTGAGGATTCCTGGCTCCCCACCCCACCTGTTGCCTCTGCTCTGCCTACCCTGGGCGTTTTCCGGGCTGTGGAGACTGCGAGGGCCACTCTGACGCGAGAAGGTAAGATCCGGTCTCTCCGCGACGCTCCAATTCCTCTGCTCCGGCTGCAGAAATCTTTCTCCCAGAGCGAGCGAGTCCGCCTTTGCGCACAGCCAGCACCGTGGTCCCACACCGCCTCCGGGTGGCCAACAGGGGTACTGCAGCTGGCGTCGGTATAGGGTGCAGAACAGTAACCAGAGAC